GGTAGCGGCAGCCAGAAGGAGCTGCTGCTGCTAGGAAATGGAGTCCACCATGGGCCAAGTCTGGCCTGCAGACCACAGTTTGCTGACCTTGTTTTAAACTGTTCACTCCACAGGTGCTAGCAACTCTCTTTTCTTTTACACTGTCTTTTAATGGTTCCATTATTCCAGCTATCTCTACTTCTGCAATGCGGCTGTCTGTTAGCGTCTTCTAGTAACATAGCTCCCATTTCACAGCCCTGCAGACCATGTTTTAAACTACAGTTAAAATTTCCATACTCAAGTTTATTTTTAACTTGGGTGAATGTTAGCTCAGGTGTGGAACTTGTTTTCAATGAAGCATTGAATGCACTGCCAGATGCTTTAGAAAGCACTTTTGTTTTATGAATCTGAAAGAGATGTACATTTTAACTGTAATGTCTTTGAGTTATTTTGCCTACTTTATTGTGTGTTTTAGATCACTAGATATGATGTAGCAGATTAAGTCACATTCCAGCATTTTTCTTTCCTCCATCCTAAATTAAATAATATAGCTCTAGGTCCCAACATATTGGTGAAGCTTCTAGTTACATTTTTATCCAGGTAAAAAGAGTTCTTTTGCTTGATTTGGATGAACCACATCATCTCCAAGCCCCCTTTATCAAAATCCTAGATCAGGACACTGGTCTTCTGCTTCCTGGAAAGAAGATAAGTCCCTGAAGAGAATAAAGCTGACCTTGTCAAGGCCTTTCTAATGCCACTTTAGTCTCCTACTAATTGGCCTCCAGGATCCTATGTGCATGTGAGAATAGCTATCAAGTCTCACGGGTCTAAAATGAGATCAGGAAAAGGAACTCAATAATCAAAATGAGAACTCTTGGGTAACTCTACCTTGTGCAACAAGTAGCTTGATGTTACTTGTACAGTCAATACTAGTGGGGGTTTTCTTGGGGTTGTTTTTTTTTTTAGTATTCTGCACTCTGGGCTTTGTCTAGTATGTACAAATTACTGCAAGAGTTGGATGCTGGCAGAACAATAGGCATTAAAAGCTAGCTATTAGGACTCCTGTGTTTTTGTTTTTTGTTTGTTTTTTTTAAATAAGATAAAGGGTTGGGTTTTTTTAATGCTTAGTGCATGTGTTTTCCTTAATTTTGATTTGTGATGTCACACCTGGGTTTCAGCTCTAACAAGGAATCCTTTTTCTCCAATCATATAGGGGATCAGAAGACTCTGCTACTACAGAAACCAGGCACATATCTCAAACTGTCCAGCAGGTTGCACCAAGACCTCAGGCCAGCTCTGACAGAGCAGACCAGTGAGACTTCAGCTTTTGCTTGTACCAGGTTAATGCCACGGGAACACAACTAAACAGCTACAGCTGTATTAAATTAAAGCATTGCCTCTTCTGCTGAACTCTGATCCAAAGATTACTGAACAGGACTTTAATCACTCAAACTGAGCTGTACACTTGCCACAGTCTGGACTGTATTCTATCAGCTTCTGCAGTGGGTAACATCACTTGCTTCACTAGACTGCAGTTGCAAAGAGCTCCTTGCTTCTACCCTGCCACTTGCTGCTTTTGTATCCAATGAAGGACTCAGAACTGTAGTTTTGTCCTTGTTCTTCAGGCTGGAAAGACTAGCAGTAAAACTTTGGCCGAAGTCCTGACAACTTTCAACTTAACTAGTATAAGCTTGGGTGTATGGTGAACAATGATCCTTGCTGTATAGTTTTTAAACTGAACTCATGCTGTTGGTGTAAGGTCCATCTTGGATTCCTGTTAATAGAAAAGACTAACTTGTGGACATCCTGTAACGAGGGCTCCATTGTGAGATAACTGCACTTCCTGGTTATAACATAGTGGAGCTAATTTTTGACCTCTTACCTAAATAGTTGACTTGGGCCTCCATGAAGAATCAAAGGTGGTTGTTGTTGTTGTTGTTTTTCTTTTCTTTTTTAAAAGAAATAACTAAAATAATAGTGCAGCAACCCCTACTGAGAAGAAGAAACAAGGGGTAATGATGCCACTTAATTGGTAATCACAGGATGAGAGATGTACCTACTCCCGGTAATCTTGACTTCCGCAAATTTCCCCTGAGCCTTGAAAAGCCAGACAAAAGTAGTTGCCCTTAAAGAGTAGCAACTCTGGTATAGCATCTGTATGGAACACTTCCATTTGGAGCTGGGCAGCCTTGTCTCAGATGGAAGTGTTGTCTCAATACCATCTTCTAACCCTAGGCCTGCCACTGAGGGGAGCAAGCAGGCAAGGTTTATTTGGCTTGTGCATCTGAAACCTGTAATTAAGCTGTGTAAAATGAGTGACTTGGGAGTATCCCTCTAGGCCACATCCTGTGTGTGTGTATCTCTCTCCAGTGTGTTTTATAGAAAGCCATATATTTTGCTGCCCAGCTAATTAGGACCTGAGGTATGGAAGTCGTGACAATATTAGGCTAACAGTTGCTTTGAAGGTAGATGGCTGGCTAACATCCTATGCCACCTAACACATTTTCTACAAAGAGACTTAAGCAAATTTTGATTGGATCCCTCAGCTAACTGCTTGTCTAATACTATGAGAAGCAAACTCAGACCACAAGCCTGAGAGCTGTAGTGCTTTCTTCTACAGCTACATTTAAGTATGAGCTGCTTTAGGGTGAAGTTCTACTTGAAGTCAAGTCTCCCTCCCCCTTTCCCCACCCCCTCAATTTATTAGTCATGCATGTCTACTTTGAAGCCTTATCTCATGCAGTTTGTGTATAGCAGCAGCTCGATTCTGCTGTAACTAAATGCATATTCATAAATACGTTGCCGACACTGACACTTTGTCCTACTTTGGTATGAAAAATCTGGGTAACGCTGTCTCAGTCTAGCAAACACTGATTACTTCACAGTCAACAGTGATGATCTGAATCTGTTAATCCTGCATTGCTGTAAATGCATGTAAAGAAAAAGCTGCTGGTGTGTGTGCAGTGGTCTTTTTTTTGTTTTGTTTACATACTTTTCTGCCTATTTAGTAGTTAAAGAGTATGTCTTAAATGAAAAACTTCAGGAAAATTTAAATATTGCTGCTGAGTATTATTGTGTAACTCACTAAAGTCAAAATTATACAGATAAGGTGGGTATAATCTGGTACTGTTGGGCTGACCTAGCGAAAAGGTCAGTGTAGCCTTTGATGGGTATGCTACTGGCCCTCAAGTAAAAGGCGGTGGGGAGTAGTGACGGGAGCTCTGGCTGCCCTCTAATCAAAGGTCAGAC